TTCCCTACGTATCACGACGCCGCGTGAATTAGATCATCACGTAATTCAAGAAATAAGTACGAAAAATAAGGAAACAGTTTTTGGGAATTTTCAATTTTCATTAATAAAACTCCTAAATTTTATATTACAAAAGACTCCAACATACTCATTTCTTGGAATTTTAAAAAACTACAAACAGACTCGAAACAATATTTTAAACTAAAAACAGAAATACAGACTCGATAAATGAAAAATCAAGAGTACATAAGTGCTTCGACTCCTGGGGCCCGTGGGACATCATTCGGTATTGCCACGAGCCTATGTGCAAGATCCCCTTGAAAATGCTCCAGATCACCCATTATTTGGCGGACAAATGTCATTACTGCAGCAAAGAAAGTGGTTTGAGTCATGTCCTCACATTCGTGGCATTTCATGACAATGTAGTTGGCAATTGCTCTAACCCTCTCCCGGATAATACCCTTTTCTTGGAGCAAACGCCCGATTTGCTGATTCCGAGCTTCTAACACTTGGGTGTCATGATGGTTTTGACTTTGCAACTGTTGCATATCTTCCTCCATCTGGGACATCAAGGCATAGCAATATTCCCTTTCAGTTTTAAAGTTCCTAGCCTGTTTGGCCACCTCATTTTCAACGGTAGTTAGCTTCCTCTTCAAATTGGTGACCGTCCCCTCATATTTTCTTTTCAATTGCTGCACAAATTTTGCCCGTCCTTCTGCGTTCTTTATCAGTTGTGCCCGGTCTCTTGCTAGACTGGCCTCAGATGTTTCCAAGTCATCTTGACACTCGATTACTTTCTTTCTAAGACCACTTATAAGCCTTTCATCTGCTCGGCTTCTTTCATGGTTTTTAGTAACTATTTTCATCTTTTGGATCTGAGCTTTAAGGGCTTCGTTTTCCTAAGCCAACTTCTTCTTTTCCCTTTCATCAGCAGCAGCTTGGACACTATTGTCAAATTTGAGTTCCTGATTTGTCCCTCCAATTTACTTATCTTGGCCCTATAGCTTGCTTCTTTCATCAACCAGTCCCATTGCTCCCGTGAGTCGTCAGTGAATTGTTGGACGTGAGGTTTTTTAGCAGGCATTTCGGGCTCTCGAGGGATTTGAAACCTTTTACCGAACCAATTCATGTAATTAGGGTCTAACTCGCCTTTAGCTAAATTCCGCACCAGAGTCTTAGGTTCTAGAAATCTGCACTCATTCCAAACTTGACGAACTCTTCCTTCTGGGAATACAGCCTTTGGGCCCAATTCAACGACTTGTTGTCTCAGATCTTCATCATGGGGAATAGTTTGAAACCTGCCCAGTTGGTGCAAAACCCTGTGAGGAGCATATGGCTGAATGATCCGGAGACCCATTAGGAGAAGATAACACACCTCGGCTGACATGTATATGACTTCGGTGACAGGGAGCCATCCGAAAGTCCACTCAATTTTGTCTGATGTTAAAGAACTCAAGTGCGCAAACCAAGCCTCTATACCTTCTGAAAATTCAACACCCACCACTCGGTTTTCGTACTCTTCGATGCAATTCAGATCGGTCATACCGTAGTTCATATACCCGACACGGTGACAAAGATATTCTTGTATTCAAAGTTGTAGCAGCAGGTTACAACCCTGGAAGAATCTTCCCATTTCTCTGCATATGGTTAAGGCTCGGTAAATCTTAACTAAGATCATTGGAACAAGGATGTCGTTAGCTTTCTTAATCATGACATCAACCATTCCCACGAGACCCAATTCTATGTTGCCATCTTTTCTTGGGTAGATTATGACACCCAAGAATGCTACTATAAAGGCCAAACCCCGTCGTGCCTCCCATTTATCTTTGTTTCCCGCATGGGTCATACCAGTATCTGGTGCTTCAAAACCGTGGGGATTGCCATAGCGCTGGTATAAGAAGTGGAAAGTGCAAAACCCTTCGGATAAATTACCATCCTGAACCTCCTGACTGATACTCAACATATCTAGAAACTTGTGAGGAGACACTGTTCTTGATGACACCGGGTACCGACTTCTAAGATTTCCACTAAGGCCGGCATAGCCCGCAATTTCCTCTAGCGTAGGGGTGAGCTCAAAATCAGAAAAGTGAAACACATTGTGAGTCGGGTCCCAGAAAGGTATCAAGGCCTCAATCACATCCAATCTCGGCTTGATTTTCAAAAGTCCAACGAGACCACCCAAAACTTTTACCACAGTCCCTATGCTGACTTTTCCTAAGTCGTTCCACCACATATGGAGCTGTAAGGGGATTTCCTCAAGAACTGCGAAGGGTTCATTTTCATTTGTGCCCATCTTGCACATTTATTAGGGTGATTGGTTAAGAAATCATAATTTATTTGACTCAAGAAAAGGTTATCAATTTTTTTTATTTTTGTTTTTTCAAAAAATTTCAATTCAAAATAAAAACCCGGTCTTTGCAAATACGGCCCTTGAGCACTTCGGAAAAGAAGATTTTAAGGTTCTGTATGCTAACCGACCAAAAATTTGAAAAACAGACCGTAGGTGGCTATTCTTGTAAAAACAGCCTTTCGGCGTCCTTTTAGGGACATTTGGCTATTTTAGACAAGAATGACATCACCTTACTTATTTATGACAAAACAATAAAAACTTTACTCTTTTTGGGTTATTTTTGCAAATAATGAAGTTGGACCCGATGGGGGTTGCCTACGTATCCCACATCCGGTGAGAATAAAATTGGCGTAGTTCGGGCAGGTTTGACATAATAAAAACAACACTAACTAATTTTTAAAATAAAATTTTCTTTTCTTTTTTTTTTCCAAAATTTCGGCAGAGTTTCGGTACTTATTGGTCTTTTTCAAAAATAGGTAATTATCTCTCTCAGCTCTCACATTGATTTTTCTTTTTCCCAACTTTTCTCCTATTATTCATAAACCGGTCAACATGCAAATCCGAAGCAAATAAATGCACAAGTAGCAAGTAGAATGCATCAGGATGGTCTTTTTATTTCGGGTACACCTGTCCTAGATAGACTCAACCCTTGTGTTGAGTTTCCAAAGTCAAATGCATGTGATGCAAATAAATGTTCCTACTAAGGATCCGGCATGAGGCTTTGTTATACTAGGTTTAAAACCTGGGTGTATTGTTCTAGACCTGGCTTACCCGAGCGGACAGCTCGAGCCGAGGGGAGGCAGCATACTGGGAATACAGAAGCTTCACCGGCTTTGCAACTTGTCTGAACCTCGTTCTAAATTTGGGATAAGACTCTAACATAAAAGAAGTCACACGAAGTGCACCCTTCCCAGATGATTTAGAAGACTCAGGGAGAAGAGGGTTTCGTAACAGTTTTATATACAATTCAAACAATATCAAAGCGATAAAAGCGGCAATTAGCACATTAGGCTCAACATGTAAAATCAGATAAAACAAGCCAACGATAACAGTTATCCTAAGCTCGAATTCTTAAAACCTGAACCGAAGTTCTGGGTTTAGGTCCCAAGCAGAGTCGCCAGAGCTGTCACACCTCCTTTTCACACACCCGGGAGGGGATATAAGGGAGTTTTTCCAATTTAAGTGACTTTATTCGAAATGAGATTATTTATTTAATTCAAAGTCGCCACTTGGAATAATTTATTTGGTGTCCCAAGTCACCGGTTTATATTAAAATCCCAAATCAAGGAAAATCGACTTTCCTTTTGAAGTCTGCGAACCAAAAATTCTAAGAAATTCTGTTAACCCGAGAGAATGTGTTAGGCATTCCCGAATTCTATGGTTCTAGCACGGTCGCTTAAACTATTATAATTGGCCTATTATCTGATTTTATTACATGTTTTAGCCTATGGTCCATTTTAACTTATTAATCATTTTTAATTAATTTTAGGAAGATTCAATGTTATCTAAAACAAGTCTTGAACCGCGCCACATGAAATGCACCCGCGGTCTACGACACATTTTATTTAACGTTGTTGAGAATTGGAATTGGGTCACATGAAATGCACCCGCGGTCTACGACACATTTTATTTAACGTTGTTGAGAATTGGAATTGGGTCACATGAAATGCACCCCCGAGCTTAGTAAATAAGGAAATCAATTTAAATAGCACGCCTAAATCAACACACCTTAAAGTTAATAACAAAATTTGCGAGGGCTATAGAAAGTTCAACTGATAGCGCACCTCGATTTCTAAAGAGTTAAAAATAATTAAGCGAGGGCCATGGGTTTTGGGATTTTATTCAACGTGGCACACCTCAATTTCACTTCTATTAAAAGAGTTTTTGATCTAGTCTTTGAGGGCCATAATTTATACGTTTGGCTAATATGGCACACCTCGAACTAATTTAAAGAGTCTAACTAGTTAAGGAAGGCTTAAAGAAATTCTAACTTTATTTTAATCAAATGATTAAATCAAAATCAATAACTAGCGGCCTAGTGCTGAAAAAGAGGCCAATGTTGGGTTGTTTGGAGGGCCTAAATTGGCAATAGGCCCAAACGTCATGTGCAGAACTACCTATGGCAGTTATATGAAGCAGATGGCTCAACTTGAAGCCCAAAACAGGAACAAGATCGACAAAAGGGGGAAATCGGGTACAACTGGGCTCATGACAAAGGCCCAATTGTGATTCGTGACAAAGACCCAATTATAAGGAACACATAAAACAACGAAAATTTCATTGACTAAATCATGAATCTGGAAATCAGTAGCCATTTGAACAAAATTGAATGAAGACTAAAAGTGATTCTTCATATGACTTAAACTCCTACTTCCAACAACAAAATCCTAAGCATTTTTCCCTCAAACACACCAAAAATCTTGTATCAACAACACCATATGAGCACATTAGACTAATTAATTTCAACCAAAGACAAATAAAAGATTCACCATATAACTTAAGCCTAGACTACAAAAATAGAATCCTTCAAACTCGAGGAACAACAAACCATATGTGTTTAAAAATCAGAATTACTACTAACCAAATATTGAACTCACACCCTTAGTGAATTCTGACAGTATAGTGATTTAGCCATTCAAATTAGATATCAAAATGCAAACAATCCCTATTAAATACATATTGAAAAAGTAGCTCGTCTTAATTGAAGCCAAAGTAGCCAAACTGAACTCTAAACGTAATCCCAAAGGTTGTCAACAGGATAACATAACACATCACATGAGATACTAATTCAAAATAAAGCATGACGGATCTTTAGAGAAAAAAAATGACAAAGCCCAAGCATTTAGCAGATTCCACTCATCCGTAGGAGTTCAAGTTGATCATATAGCTTCGAATATGCATTTCTTACACTCATAGGGTCCAAAAGAGTACCTGGTTACAACAAAAATGACAAGGAAAATAAGCTTGGAGCTTAAGAAGAAGCAGCAGGAGTAAGACAGCAGCAATGTAACAGTACCCAGGCAGCAAATCAACCAAACTTTCAAACCAATTTAAAACCCAGGTGTACGATTTTGTAGCCTTTTTTAGAAATTCTACTTAATAAAGGGGATTAAAGAACCAAAAACCAAGCCAATTTTAAGCAACTTTCAGTATTTGGAGTTTGAAAGAAAACTCAACCGTTGCTAAATTTTTCAATGTTTTTCAGTCTCTAAAAATCTCACTTGATAATGAAGAAACAACATTTTATAGAGAAGCTCTAGGGCGGCAGAAAATGATTTCAGATTTTGCCCATTAATCCTTTTTTAATTTTCGTTTTTGCTAGTTAGTCCTTGATTTTAAAATCTATTTTTTAAACAAGTCCCAAACCCACCTTCCTAGCAGCTTCCTAAATCAGTTACACAAGATTCCCTAAACTAAAATTCCTAAACTAACCTTTAAACCTATGTTATTTACCCTGAAGACCTGGATACGGGTCAAGTTGACCCAATATCAATCCTCAATCAGGTTTGGAAACCCGGCCTAATACCCTTCCTTGGGCCTCTGTTGACAGAGCCCAAATCTAAATCAAACTCAAAACCCACAAATTTAATGGGCTAAAAAGGGTTGCCAAAAATCAGAAAACTTTCGAAGTGAAACCAAAAACAAAAACGAGAAAGAATTAATCAAAACTAAACCTAAGAATTAAAACAAACGCAACTAAACATACTCTTAATCTAATCATGCACTCAGAACACTGATTAAAAACGAAAACATAATAAAGAAAAAGAAAAGGGGAGACAGAAAGAGATGAGGACTAGAAGAAGAATAAAAGAACGGAAAAAATAAAAGAACGAGAGTACCTACAGAAGACAACAAATGGTCATGGATTGAAAGAACTCGGATGTGTTGATTTTGAGCCGAAATTGGCCTCAATCATGTGTTCTTGTCAAGAACAAACGAGCAAGGCCAGCTTCGACTCTTAATCTCTTGTCAAAACTGAAAAACTTCGGGAGATTTTTTGTTTTCCTCTTCTGCCTTTTTCAGATCCAAAATTGTCTCTATTTGGTGATAATTCGAGGGAATATGGTGATGGATTGGGGGTCAGGGATGAGTGAGGGGTGTGTGGTGTTAGTTTGGTGGTGGTTTGGAGTTATTTTACCGGTGAAAATGGCGGATTTTAGAGGCGTCATTAGGGTTACGATGAGAGAGATAGACGGGGGTGTTTGGACTAAGTTGTCTGATGGGGATTTCGGACAGATTTTATCAAATTGGGGAAAGTGTTCCTGGCCATTGGATACACTGAGATGAAGGGCCAGGATTTAATTAATTAGGTAACTCAAAACAACATAGTATTGGCCTTATACTACGTCGTTTGGGTCATCTGAAAGACCTACTGATTTGGAATGGGTAAAGGTGTGATTGGGTCGGATTTGAACGGATCTTGTGGATTTAAACACTTGGGCCTGGGGGAATTCAATTGCAACAGCCCAAAATCAGAATTCTTTTATTTCTTTTCTTTTTCTTTTTCAATTTCAAGTTCCTTTTTCTTTTCAAATTAAAAATAAAACCTAAATTAATTTTAAAAACTAAATTAATTTATCAGATTAGATTAATTACTCAACAAAGTATTTTCAAAAATTAAATAACTCCTAAACTAAAAGAAAAGCTATAAAATTCAAAATTAAAGAGTAAAAATGCAAAAATGAGCTTTTTTTTGTGATTTTTCATTTTTAATCTAAAAATGTAAAATTAGATCCTAAATAAAAATGCAATATATTTTTGTATTTTTTCATGAATTAAATAAAATTAAACATGCACAGAAAAATGCAAATAATTAGAAAAATTCTACAATAATTCCTAAAATAACAAACAATTAAAAGAAAAATCTAATTCTTTGGGATTTTGTAGGAGTAATTCATGTGAGACAAAAATCACGTGCTCACACTGTATAACCAATAGAATTCTTCACAGAAGCTTCGCCAACCATATGACCGCCGATCTGCTCACTGGAGATAACCCACCTGTGGAATTTACGTGCCGACATCTTCCAACGCTGTTGCACGAGGCACAATCACTATGACATCAATAACCCATCCTGAGTCCGAGCTCACTCTCTAGCTGCACAAGTCCATTCACCCCTTGCGGACATCAATTAAATGTGCGGCAACATCCTTCCAATTCAAATTTATGTTGTATCCTTCTTCATGTCAAGCAGCTCCTTTCCGATATATCAAATCTCTTGCCGCATAATAGCCTATACTTCAAATTAAATCCGTAGACCCCAATCACCAGTTACTAAAATTCCCAAATTATTCCAAACTCTCCTTAAGGTGCGTAGTCATCCTACCACGAAGCCCATATGCAACTCCGCCACTCTCCCACTTTGGAAGAACTCACCCCTTTAATCGACTACTTGACCTTTGTTTCTTATACTTGGACTTCTAGAAATCTTAACCACCGCCTGACACTCCCCACATGTCCTTCCTCATCCTTAGCTGCTCAGTTGTTGCCTTAATTAAAATCTATCTTCGTAGCACTAGAACCCACAAATCGCTACTAACTTTAAACATTTCCGAAGGTCATCTTTCTCGAGCCGTCAACATTAGAAACACCGATTCAATCCTAAACCACCATACCCCGCGATATCTAATAGTCGTTTCTCCAACATTATTTCACAATATCTTACCCCAAGGCGAATTGCAGAAGACCATAACACCGGCGAACTTAACACATACAATCGAGGACGACGACACCACATCGTAGATGAAAATCCTATCACGCTTAAAATCACCAAGTCTTGTTACTCCCTTACTCCAAATTTGGATATCCCTAGGCCAATTGTTTTTCCTCTGCCGGAAATGAAATATCAGATCTCTGAATCATGCACTGAGTAGGCTTCCTTTCAAATCATTCACTGCCCCAACACATAGGCAAGTATCCTGCTATCAAGTCATTACTATGCGACAATCAATCGTGAGCATCATAGCAACCTATGCATGGCCTCCAATATCTTAGAAGCACAACTACTAAGCCGAAATGATAGAAAAGAATCCTTACGCAAGGCGACGACAGTAGCCCAATCAACTATACCGAGAGAAACAACTCGCACCACGTCCATAGTACCATTACCAATCCCTCAATTCTCGATTTATAACAAGCGATTCGCGTTACGTAAGATTGAGTAGGAAAGAAACAAGGGCATAAGCCTCAAAGGAATCAAACCGCACGATGAGGAATCAAGAAGGGAAGTGCTCCTAACAGCCCTATAGCCTCTTGAAGATAAGTACAGACGTCTCTGTACCGATTCGCAAGACTCTACTAGACTCGCTCATGACTCGTGAGACCTAAGGAAACCTAGTGCTCTGATACCATGCTGTCACGACCCAAATTCCACTAAGGGTCGTGATGGCGTCGGACACCGCTGTCAGGCAAGCCAACCAAAATACTTAATTTAATTCTCGTTTTAATAATTTTGAAAATTATGATTTTCCTTAAATTTCGCTAGTAAAAGATAATCATTTCAAATCAATTATGAATGTTAAGAAGTTAATGCAAGATACCTCATAATAATCCCAGAACCCGGTGTCATAAGTGCATGAGCATTTACTAGGGAATGAAATAAAATACAGTGACTGTCCGGAATACAAGTAGACAGAAACGAAAATACCATACAATACTCTGAAGGAGACTTTACCGACTGCGAGGCGTCTCAAAAATGCAGCTCACCTAAGTCTCCGTACCAACCATGCCGCTATGCCTCTAAGCCACTAGCCACACATAAACCTGTGCAACAAAAATGCACAGCAAGTGTAGTATGAGTACGAAAACAACGTGTACCCAGTGAGTATCCCGTCTAATCTCGAAGAAGTAGATACGAGAGGTCGACTTCGACTTAGTGGTCCAATGATAATATATTATTAATGCGAATAATTCTGGATTTATTAAGGACGCCAGTAATTTCAAATAAGTCACGAACAGGTAAAGGTTCCTTTTTACATTAAAAGTCTCCGGATTCATAATTTATTAATTTTCAATTATCTCAAGTCAGGGAAAGTAAATATCAATATCAATAAATCTCAAGGCAAGCAATACAAGCATGCGCAAATCATGCCGAGGTCGTATGGCCCGACCCAACATAAATGTAAAATGTGCACTGTCGAGGGTCGAACAGCGTGAACCATAGATACATCTATTACCCCGCTCGTGAATCATATATGCGACGCGGTCAAATTTAAATAAACAATCACCCTGCTCGCGAATCATACATGTGACGCAGGTACACATAGAAATACATGCTCAAACAGCCAATTAAGAATTTATCGGGGAACGTTTATCCAAATAAAAGTCAATTCTCTTTTAGCGATTTAAGAAAATTAAGTTTAGTCCTTTTTGAAATTCATTTACCGATTCAATAGGATTTAAGCAATTCAACTGTCAACAAGATTACAAATATTCCAAGTATAGCATGCTTTTGGGTCCTAGACTACCCAGACTTACATATAATAGTAGCTACGCACAGTCTCTCGTCACCTCGTGTGTACGTAGGCCCCCCAAATAGAAGCAGATAACCAATTACTTCACCTATGGGGACAATTTCCTCCATAAAATCGCCTCTACGGCTCTTCTGGCCGCTTCTACGGCTCCGCACCTGCGGCCCAAGCCTCATAGGTGCAGTTACACCAGAAGACAACTGCTGCACTTCCTCTTCCAATTTCCAAAATCAATTCGTTAACCATCCGGAATCCACCTGAGGCCCCCGGAACCCCAACGAATCATACCAACTAGTCCCAAAATACATTATGGACTTGCTCGAGGCCTCAAATCATATCAAACAATGCTAAAATCATGAATCGACCCCCAATCCAAGCTTAAGGAACTTTAGAATTTCAAACTTCTACATTCGATGACTAAACCTATCAAATCACGTCCGATTCACCTCAAATTTTGCACACAAGTCATATTTGACATTACGGACATACTCCAACTTCCAAAATTGGATTCCGACCCCGATATCAAAAAGTTCACTTCCAGTCAAACTTCTCAAAAACCTTCAAATTTCTATCTTTAGCCAAATGACTCCAAAATGACCTACGGACCTCTGATTCACTTTCGATCGTGCTCCTAATAGCAGAATTACCATACATATCTATTCCCAGACTCGGGATCTCAAACGGACATTGATAACCCTGAAATGCACTTCAATCCAAACTTATGAGATTCTTCCAATATGCTAACTTCCACAATAGGCGCCGAAACGTTCTCGAGTCTTCCAAAACCTAGTCCGGATATACGCCCAGGTCCGAAATCATCATACGAACCTGCTATAACCTTCAAATCCTGATTCTGAGGTCGTTTACTAAAAAATTCAACCTTAGTCAATTTTTTCAACTTAAAGCTTCCGAAATGAGAATTCTCTTTCCAAATCAACTCCGAACTTCCCGGAATTCAATTCCGAACGTGCGCACAAGTAATAATACCTGAAGTGAAGCTGCTCATGGACTCAAACTGTTGAACTATGCGCTAGAGCTCAAAACGATCATTTCGATCGTTACAAATTATCAATCGATTATAACTATCAAATTTTACATCCCCTCTAAGATTCTGCCTGCGTCTACGAGATGGTGCAGAAGCAGCACTAGATGTAGCTGGGCAAGAACCTCTAATATCCAATCTAGATATGCTGAGAATGGATGATGATGATGGACTGAAAGATGATGGAGCAACAAAAGATGAACCATCATGCTGACTACCTTAAGAAAAGAAAATGACATTCTTCAGACATATTAATCATTAACTTTATTTTGTAACAGATATTAAATAATTATTTTCAAATATTAATCATTAAGATAACTTAACTGTTTTTTCCACTTCCAAATAATTTGATTTAATCATTGAAATAGTCATATCACTTAGTTGTTTCCAGCTAAGGGTTCTGATGTTCTATCACTTCACCAGATTTCTTGGAAATTCCACAGGCTATTAGGAGTATAGCTAGAGATTAACAATTACTGTCACTACATTGCAAAGCTACAATTTTAAGTGAGAAATACAGATAAATACCATAGATCGTTTGCATAAATAATTCAAGTTGAATGTTGTGAGTATTCAATAGGTGCTCTATAGGTGCATTATTTTATTTTTGTTAATGGTAATTTTCATAATTATTACCAAAAAAATTCTATTATCAATCAAATAATGAGATTTCTAATACTTATGTGGTTCAACGAAACACTTACCTCGAAGGAAAAAATGATGGAGAAGTCGACTGAGGAGTTGTTGCCGCCGCTGCCGACCACTCTAGCTGCTGCAAAACAAAGTAAAAAAAATTAATTAAGGGGAAAAGGGAGGAGGAAGGAGAGCGAGAAGGGAGGAGGAAATGAGAGAGAGCGCAAAATACTAGCTTTGGGACGGGGGAGAAGGACGAGAGGAAGCAAGGACCTTGGGGAAGAGATGGAGAGATGAGAAAATTGAAAATGGAGGTTCTATTTTTTGGGGAGGGGCTGTAGGGTTTTGTAAAAATAATTCCGACCGATTCGGTCGGAATTATTATTTTATTTTATTTTAGAAAAAACTACCGACCAAATAGGTCGGAAATGAAGTCAAACTAGTCAAAATAAATTTTTCGCCAAAAGTTGCGACCGATTTGGTCAGAAATGTGGTCGAAAAAAATTTAAAAATATATATATATAATATTTTCTTGACAATTTTGATGGATTCCGTCGGAGATTTCCGACCAAAAATTTCAGTCGAAAATTTTGATCGGAAGTTAGTGTTTTTCTAGTAGTGTATGCTTGTGGAAGATTGGTAGGGTTGTCCACCTTAACAACATTGCTAAGCTCGGGTTTTAGGTTATTCAGAAAAATGTTGATATCATATTCTGTAGAGAGGTTAATCCTTGTCATCACACTCACAAAAGCCTTCTGATAATCCTTTACAGAACATGTATGTTTAATGTTCATTAACTCAGTCATGGGGTCAGAATATTCAGCTCCAAAGCCGTCACAAAGAGCCCACAAATACTCATCCCAAGTAGGTAATGGCATAGGACCTCTACTCCTCATATACCCTAAGTGCCACTGTAAAGCATCTTCCTCAAAGTGTAGTAAGACTAATTTCATCTTTTGCTGAATGGTAATATCTTCATCTGCAAAAAATGGATCCACCTTATACAACCTTGTTCTTAAGTCATCCCCATTGAACTTAGGGAACTCAACCTTAGTGTATTTAGTATAGGAGATATTAGGCAAGGGAACTGTGTGATTGTTTTGTGTTTGGGGGTGGTTTTGTGTATTGGTATTATACTGATAATGCGAAAGGGTTGGTATATAGGTGGTCTGGTGGTACGGAGGAGGAGGTATGTGTGCATTTTGAGTGTAATAGGGTGGAGGAAACTGTGTGGCTTGGGGGTAAGGAAGGTAGTGAGGCATTACTCCCATAGGTGAATCTTGGTTCCAACTCATTGTGGGTTGGTAAAACCTTCCATTAAGAGATTGAGTTGGGAAGTTTTGGGGTTGGAGTGTAGTGTTTCTGGGGTAAGGAGAAGGTAGGTTTGGAGGCACATAAGGTTGAGATTGAGGGGGTTGTATGAGAGGTGTGTTTATCATGACTAAGCGAAGGGAGTGGGGTTGTGGTTGAGTCTGAGCTATAGCTGTGTGAATTGGTTGTACCATTGGGGGTGTAGAAGAAGGAACACCACTAACTGAAATATTAGTAGTATCTTGTCTAGGGTTCTGAGTAGTGGCATTAGCAGGGGAGGCAAGGGCACCCAAAATGTAGTGTTCAGGTTGCTAGTACTAGGTGTTGCTAGATCTCCAAAATCAAAAGGTCTATCACTTGGAGAGTAGAGCTCACCCTCATCCTGCGATGCCTTCTTGTCCCTCTCAGGTCGTTTACCTTCATGGATGACCTCATTGAGAACCTCTCTCAGCTCATTCAAGGATTCCTTTTGTTGTTTGCTACTCTGCTCTTGAGCAGCTTCCAGTTGCTCTTGTCGAGCTGTAAAACTGGACATTTCAGTAGAGATCTTGTGTAATGCGCTCATAACCTCGTTCATCTCACTCGCCATATACAAAGAGCCAAAAAGTGCTCAGATACCACTGATACGAAAATGGCAATGGAATAGTAAAAAAAAAAAAGTTGCGACAGAAATGTAACAAAAGGAAATAAAGAAGAAGAAGATAACTAGCGCAAAAATAAAAGGGTATACTCTCTGATTGATTGTGCTAAAAACAGGAATTACAATATATATAGAGCGAGTGAAGGAAGATTCCCTCAGCTAACACCCATGCCCCTTCCCTATTTGGTCACTTGGACCTTTCGTATAAAAGACAAAGAAAATTACAGGGTCGTCAATGTGTAATTACTATAAGTTGTAATTTAAAACTTAAGTGAACTAAACTAATATTTCTCAAACTTCTCTTCAGCCTTCTATTTAACTAACTTAACTACTCTGTACCATTTGGCAAGCACAACGTACTACTGGTGCAAGCTACTCGTATCAAGCGATGAGACTTATCTCGTATATCTTTTTGAACAATTAGGAGTTATTAATTAAGCGCTTATAGTAATAAAATTGTGTATTGGTATGTCTGCTTGTCTAGTGGCGATCAAAACAACAGCCAAGGTAAAAAGGATGATGTAGTGAAATATACATCAAACCTACGAATTTTTTATTTGGTTGCATACGGTTAACAGGAACCAACGAGGTTCATTAGACAGTAGTGACCAAACTAATGAGATTAAAATTCGTGACATTACAGTTTGAATTATGATATCTTAACTATTAGTAGTTCTCCTGAAAATCCTCAAATTGTTACCGCCAATGAACATGCAACAAAATTTAACGGCTTACCACTTTTATTTTGAGTAATATTTGATGATTTCCTTCTTATATGTGCATTTAAACACCATATTAATTCTTTAGTTTTATTTTATCTTTTTCCATGCCGTAAAAAAAAAAAAAAAAAAAAAAAAAAAAAAAAAAAAAAAAAAAAAAAAAAAAAAAAAAAAAAAAAAAAAGGATACTATGAGCATAATGATTGGTGAATTATGATATGGAGACGGGAATCTATCTCCCATTCTATGAAGTTCACAAAAAGACAATTGTTGTTATGCAACTTTTAGCTTGACTCTATAGGTTTTATAATGAACTTCCGTCACCTATAGGCTATAAATATAGCATGATGCTCTCTAGCTTCTGAAACCAACAGTTTTCGACCCACAAAAGGCTCAAATATATATCCTCCACCAAATTAATTTTTTTTTTTAACAAAAAAACTTAGCAAGTATGGATAACAAATATCACATGAATGGCGGTGATGACCTTAAGAGCTATGCTAAGAATTCTGAATACCAGGTTCAATTCAATCCATTCAAATCATCTATACATATGGATAAAATTCTTAAAAATTGGTATATAATTTTTTTCTTTTTTTTTTCCACCAAAAACATATGTATGTAATTTGGATTCGACTGTGTTGATGACCAGAACCCATGCCTGCAAATTAATCGTTAACACATGTTTTTGCAGAAACAACTACTTGGATATTCAAAGAAAGTAATGAATGAGTTGATTCAGCAGCAACTTGATGTGGGATTAAACCCTCATTTTGATCATTGTAACCCATTTCGCATAGCAGATTTTGGGTGTTCTACTGGACGAAACACCTATCTTGCAGCTCAGAATATCATTGAAGCAGTGGAACAAAAGTATAAATCTAATGAAGAAGATCCTCAAGTACCAGAATTCCTTGTGTTCTTTAATGATTTAGTCCAAAACGATTTCAACACTCTCTTCAATTACATCCATAGCAACAAACCTAACTACTTCGGTGCTGGAGTCCCAGGTATATATATTCATGATCTATTTAGGTAATTATGTTTTGTATTCACGATCTTTTGTATGCTTTGAAGGGGAGCCTTGACTGTAAAGTTGCTATCATGTGATCGGGAGGTCACGTGTTTGAGCCGTGGAAACAGTCTCTTGCAGAAATGCAGGGTAAGACTGTGTACAAAAGACCTTTGTTGTCCGGCCCTTCCCCGGATCTTGCGCATGGCGAGAGCTTAGTTCACCGAGCTCCTTTTTAAAAAAAAAAAAAAAAACTATGTTCTGTATGCAGAATAATAGTGAAAGCCATAAGATATTTAAATATAAATCTACACACGAGCCAATACAGTATAGACAAATTGAACATACATAATTCAGGTTTTCTCATAAGATAATTATAAAAAATTTCTATGATAAAATTAATTGGTAACTTGATAAAATGGTAACTAACATGCTATAATAATATATACTACAGCGATCATATAAGAAAACTTACACTACCCGTTAGCATAATGTATATAACTTAAATCCTTTGATATATATATTATCTACATGTCTAGGTTCTTTCCATGGACGAGTATTTCCAAAGGCGTTCCTACATATTGCCCACAGTTCCATGGCGCTTCTATACTTGTCAAGAATTCCCGAGGAAGTCAAGGACAGAAACTCAGCAGCGTGGAACAAGGGGAGAATTCATTACAGTTGTAGTGGAGCAGCAAAAGAAGTAGAGGCGGCATATTCAACTCAGTTCAGAAAAGATATAGAAGCATTTTTGGATGCAAGAGCAGAAGAGCTGATTCCAGGAGGATTAATGGTGATTATAACTCTTGGAATTCTTGATGGGGTGCTTCCTTCTGAGTGTTCCATGGGAGTCAATTTCAGCATTCTTGGATCTTGCCTAGAGGATATGGCCAAAATGGTAACCACCTAATTAATTAATTAATATATCCTCCTCCCCCACTTCGAAAACGAAACAAAGATAGTTTAAGCTTTGTGAGGACACGATAAGTATGATCATGGTGGAAAAGTAATCGACGAGCAGTTAAAAAATAATCGAACAAACTACTTAATATAAAATAAATATTAAGAGCATTTTTGAAGAGTGATAGCAGTAATTTTTATGCATTGAAGGGGGTGAATATTTGCACAATCACGTCAATTATGAGGTATTATAGGTACATAATTATACTTGCGATAATCTGTTAAAATAGTGATCAGTAATCATTAACATGATACCACAAATTAAAATTTATTAATAGTATAAAAGAATTTACACCGTCAATGTAGGTAATTCAAAGTCTTCTTGCACCTGATTAGTGGCCAGTGAAGTGAGATAAAACCATTGGCATTCAAAAAAAATGATAGCAGGTGGTTTCTTCTCATCTACCTAAGTCTAGATGGGCAAAGTTATTCAATATATGTGATGGAAGATAGCAAATAACCAATGGAATAGGGTGTACCACCGCTATCCCAAAAAAAAAACTACTGAGTTTAAAACTATTAACTTGATATGCATACATCCCTATAACAAATCATATCAAATACTAAGTTTTTTGTCTGTCCCCTCCACGGGTACTTGAAAAAATGACGAATCTTCCGTTTCAGGGCATCATATCAGAGGAAAAGTTGGATTCGTTCAACCTCCCATACTATTACACATCACATATGGAACTGGAAACACTGATAAAGGCACATGGATGCTTTGACATCGCAAGGTTTGAGAAGCTACCAACTCCCTTCAGACAAGTAGTACACGATATCCAGACTGTAGTCTTATCTATACGAGCGGTAACAGAGGGACTATTTGAGGAACACTTTGGGAAAGACGTCATTGAGGAATTGTTTCAACGTTATGCTGAAAAAGTTGGTTCGCATCCGGTTTTGTACGATGATAAATATCGAACAGAGGCCAGCTACTTTGTGTTTCTCAAGCGCAAAACCGATACATCCAAACCAGGAACCTAGGTTGCTTCATAAAACTTACCATGTGCCTCCAAACAGTTGCGCGATAAAGAGGCATTTGCAGAACTTTGTGATTGTGCACTTGTTTGCATAAACCAAGGGAGATAATCCCCTGCAGAATTGAAAATTTTATATGGCAATTCCAACTCTTCTGGAAATTAAAAACAGGAAAAAGAAAAAAACACTGCCACCAGAGAATGCTCATGACTGAGCTTTGTACATAATGTGTGGAGAAACTGTGATAAAAGGAGATCGAATGATCGAAACCACGATACTGTGATATTGCCTTGATTTCTACCAAAGCAGAACCAAAGATCCGTTAATCAAATGATGATTAAGTAAATTTCTTGCAGATTTTGGACAAAACCTAAACAGTTGGATAAAGGAGGAATGAGAAATCCTCATTCGTCCCCAAAAAATGCTACATATTCAGCAGGAAGCCATGGAAAACAGGCAATGACCTTCTGATATCCTGTAACTCACAATCTCACATCAATCAATTTAGGTGGAAAACTACGAGGAAACAGAAGAATACTAATGCTTAGTCTAGACTAACTCATAAGAAAAATAAAGCCGTTTAAAAATCTCCAGTCTCTCTGCCATTTAAATAATGACTTCTTTAAATAATGCCATTTAAACAAGAAACTGCAGTTAAATAATCAACTAGCTGACTCCTTCGCAATCTTCTCAGCCTTAGCAATGACTTCTTCTATACCCCCAACCATGTAAAACGATTGCTCTGATAGGTCATCATATTTCCCGTCCAGGACACCCTGCTCAGAATGAAAATGAAGGTTAAAATTATATACAGAATGAAAATTTCTGGTCAAAGAAACCAACAGCAGGTGATTGTTAAAGTTTAGCAGAAAAATGAAGTACATGTGTTTGTTCGCACAAACTCAGTAAGAAAGTTGCTCTCAGTTACCTGAAAACTTTGGATGCTCTCTTTCAAATCCACATACTTTCCAGGGGCACCAGTAAATACTTCTGCAACATGGAAAGGCTGGCTCAAGAACCTCTGAATTTTACGAGCACGAGCAACAGTTAGTTTGTCATCTTCACTCAGTTCATCCATTCCCAGAATGGCGATAATATCCTGGAGATTCTTGTAGTTCTGGAGAACCTTTTGTACACCTCGCGCAGTATTATAATGATCTTCACCTAGGATATGAGGAGAAAGCATACGGGACGTAGAATCTAAGGGATCCACTGCAGGATAAATACCAAGCTCAGAAATCTGCATTGGAGAAGAGCGACGATGTTAATAAAATAGCATGAAAAGTGTTTTTCTGAAACATAATTGCAAATATAAGAAACTAACCTGCCGAGATAACACGGTTGTAGCATCAAGGTGAGCAAAGGTGGTAGCAGGGGCTGGATCAGTCAAGTCATCAGCAGGCACATAGATAGCTTGGACTGATGTGATAGACCC